CCGGTATTTCTCCGCCATCTCATTTCAGCCGTGGGAAGACCTGGCGGGCCCCGGCCGTTAAACGAGGGAGCTTCTGGCTCGGGCAGGCGACAGACACAAAACACTTTGTGAGCAGGGGAAAGCGGCTCTCTTGCCAACGGTCACATCTGTCTTATGTAGGGAGAGGGCGACCTCTTCACGGCAGAGCTAACTCGGGCCATAGGCCCCTGGTTTGGTGCAACCGCCAGACTGGAGTGGGCTGTAACATGCTGTTTAATGAGTTAACCGGTTACATGTTATGTTTAACCAGTTAAGTGATTAAATGGGGGCGGGCGAGCTGGAGTGACCTTCCCCAGCTCCATCATGGGTGGGGGTTATCTGGCCGGGCTGGAGCACCCACTGGTTAACCGTAACATAAGAACGGCCAGACGGGGTCAGACCAAAGATCCAGCTCACCCTCTATCCTGTCTTCCGACAGTGGCCAATGCCAGGTGCGCCAGAGAGAATGAACAGAACAGGGAATCCTCACGTGATCCCTCCTCTATCACCCAATCCCAGCTTCTGGCAAACAGCCCTGCCCATCCCGGCTAATAGCCCTCGATGGACTTAATCTCCATGAATTGATCTAGCTCTTTTTTGAACCCGGTCAAAGTTCTGGTCTTCAGAATATCATCTGGCAAGGAGTTCCGCAGATTTTTGCGCCCAAGTCACTTTATCCATAGTGCTGCACTGGAGCAACTCCCCCAACAGATGTCGCACTGGTGCAAAAAGTGACTGAGTGGCTCCCTCTGATTTCTGGCGTGTCTACGCTAGCTGCTTGCCCCAGTGCAGCTCCTTGGAGGCAACCTCCTCACCGCCCCCCCGCATCAGGGCAAACCTGCCGTCTCCCTGTGAGGCACTGCATGGACTGAGGCAGGGATGAACACACTGGATAGACACACCGGTGCCGCTCGGCACACACTGTATCCTGGAAGAGTCAAAGCCCATCCCCAGAAACAGATCCGATCTCACTCGGGTTAAGAAGAAGGGTGCAAGGTGGAAACAATTCTTGGCGAAGAGGGAGCACTTTGCGGGTGGAACATTTTTTAAGGGGCCTGACCCTGAAAAGGGGCCATGTCATTCAACGAGCGAGAAGTGCCTAACTCCCCTAGGCTCCAGCAACAGTCTCAGCCTCAAGATGCCGCACAAGCCTCCCCCGAGTCTTCGCACTTCCCATGAGCGACCAACGACGGGGCTTCGCCGCTCAAGTCTCTCCCTCGGCTGCCTTCGATCGCCCGAAAAAGAAACGTCTCCCAGCTGCATCGCACCTGCCCGGCTCCTGACGCGTGACTGTTACCTTGAAGTGCTGGGCAGGAGAAAGCTTTGCCACAGAAGGCGGCTGCCTGATCGCCTGTATTCTCATTGCCACCTCCCCCGGGACAGCCCAGTGCAGCTGTGATGCCCTCAAGTCTCTCCCTCGGCTGCCTTCGATCGCCCGAAAAAGAAACGTCTCCCAGCTGCATCGCACCTGCCCGGCTCCTGACGCGTGACTGTTACCTTGAAGTGCTGGGCAGGAGAAAGCTTTGCCACAGAAGGCGGCTGCCTGATCGCCTGTATTCTCATTGCCACCTCCCCCGGGACAGCCCAGTGCAGCTGTGATGCCAACAGGCGGAACCGA